GCCACCGTGCCGCTGAGCCAAACCGACGAATGACCGAAAAACGTTGCGTCTCATGGTCTCGAGACCGAAGCGGCCATCGCTCTGCACACGCTCTGGGACGCCCGGAAGGGACGCCTGCGACCGATGCCTAGAGCCTACAGGCAAGGGTACAGTGGCACGAACATCGTAGGTGCAAGAAGGAGTTTCCTCTTGGTGCGCAAGAATTTTCAGCAAGCTATTAGGATCAAGGCCATCGCTTCTAGGTTGCGAGGGCATCGCTAGTAGGAAGAAAAGGACAAACATCGAATCCGACCTTGGGGCGGTCAAGACATCACATATGGGCTCCCCGGCCGGCTCCTGCAAAGCGCTGCGGCCTTGGCGACTTCGGTGAAAATGGTTGAAACCGATGGGAAGGTGACCACATGCCTACTGGTACCTCTAGTGAGAGCTGAACAGTGACAAAGCAAACTCACCAAGCTCACCTGGTCAAGTGAACACCCAACAAATGAAAAGAACCACGAGGAGAACAACATCTAACTTCATACAAGAACCACCACCACCACCACCACCTGCTGTCACCACCCTTCTTCACCCAACCTATCCAGCCCAAACACGTCTCTTTCCTCCGTCACCGAGACACCCAAAGGCCATGGGCAGGTCCGAGAACTGTTCGCCTGGAAACCAGTCGAGTGGGCGGCACGTTGGGCGTGCGCGCGCGCGGTGTAGCACGTTGGGCCCCTGAGAAGGTTCGTTCTGAACGGTTTCCCAGACACCGTAGATGAGCTCCCTGAAAAAGGGAAGTGAAGCAAGAAAAACTCAGACTAAAGCCCACCACACGTCATCTTACGGGGACAAGGGCTTCGAAAACTATCAAGGCCATTCCGGGGACTGGGTACCGCAATCAGATCTACAGTCATTGACGTCAAGCATGGAGAAATCCCATAGAAGATTCCGACCATGACGGTGACACGAGAAACACAGAAGTCACACATGTGTGGGAACTGCGTGGTCTTTGGCATCGAGTCGTTGAGACGACTCGCTTGTAGGGCTTGTACCAGAGCATGTTGATTGGGAAGTTCTGGTCTGAGGACTAAGCCAATGGTATGCCTTTTCCAAAAGCCAACTGTACAAGTGACGTGAGATCCTTCTGTTAGGTGTCGTTTGTGTTGTGAGCAAAACTCCTCTCTCCCGAATGAAGATGATGGAAAGAACATAGTGCTCTTGTCCTATTTTCTTGCTGGATTCCATGGAACTTTGTCTGAAGAAAGCAACCACTTTCAAACAATCAAGGGTTGGAGGGTTTCCCTATTTCCATGCGCACTTACAGGGCACCCCAGTATCTTCTCCATCTTCCTTTGAGAAGCTCCATCCGTGTCTCTTCGGCGAAAACGGAGATCGTCTCTGAGATCTTCACCCACTTGAGCAAAGCCTCACCGCAGGGATCTTCGAGCGGTGGGTCGGGCCACGGGTGCCACGGGTGCGCGTCGTTGTGTGGTTTTACCATGCGGACAGGTAGGCATGTGGACTAGAATAGAAGCCACTTCAATGGGAGTGTGGTAGGAGTTTTGGAAGAAAGTCCGGTCTCCAACGAATACAAGAACGGACTTCTTTGCAAAAGCAGAAAGCGTCAGACGGATGAAATCCAGAAAAGACGTGTAGGTTCATAGCAACACATATGGCCTGGTCAGCGAACACATATGCCAGCGTGTGGTGTCGACCCATTCCCATTTTCGTGCCAGTTCCTGGAAACCTCAGCTGCGGATCCCTTCGACCGCATTCCAACCCGCCTACGCCGCCTGCGCTGCTGTTCTTACGCCGACGCGCGTCAGCCACTGTACAAGCCGCGCTTTTGGGGGCTCGTTTGGCACCCTTGACTCCGTCTGAGCCAATCGGAGCGAGGTCAAAGAGCTTAAAATAGGCCCAGCCTGGGCGGCTGGGCGCCGCGGCCGACTGCACAAGCCGACTCGTCGAGTCGCTGCAGCCGGGCCAACAGCCTACAGATCTTCCAGCTTTGGCGCCAAAGGTGCCAAAGTGGCAGGAGATGGCAGGAGGGGATTGAGAAACTGATTGGCAACGTTGGTCGTTGCAAACACTGCAGGCGTGCCGTCCGGTCGCGAGTGATTGTTTCACTTCTCAAGATCGAAACCACATCCGGGAAAGCTAAGATTCCGGAAAGCTAGGATTCCATCAGCAAGCAGAGTCTTCCAAATAGATCTAAGAATAGATCCTGTCAAGAAACGATGGAAGTTGTCTCTATTTGTTTGGGACCAACAATCCAACTTAGTTCAACTCAAAGGGAAAAATCCATTGAGTTCATCACTACGTCTGTCTGATCGAAATCTCATGAAACCAAACCCCGCTGCAAAGAGCGAGTTCTTCCCGCTCAGGAACCGCCCATGTAGACGTGGAAGCTGAAGAACCAGGTTCTGAAGCACCTCGTGCCAAGCAAAGACGAAGCAGACAAAAAGGAACTGTCGCACACAAAAAAGTCACGAGTAGCTCCGAAAAGTTCCAGAAGACTTAGAACCTCTAGCGGACATGTCCAGTTCATGGTTAAATATGTTAAATTGGCTTGATTCTCCTGCTTAATGCCTTCTTCACGCCTAATTAACGATCTTAAAAATACTCTAGTAGCAATCTATATATATAGCGTATATAGAGAGAGAGAGAGATAGAGAGAGAGAGAGATAGATAGATAGATAGATAGATAGATAGATAGATAGATAGATAGA